ATTTTCACTAAGTTAAAAAGTTCATGGACCCTTATTCACAAAATCATAACTTGAGATACAAGCATATTTTGGGAAAACTTTATTAATAAAAGTTGTAGATTTTGTGGAGGAATACAACTTTCATGTTGGAAGTTTTGTTTGAATCCAATTGCATCATGGTGAAAAAATTGGGAAAAGTTGGAAAAAAAAAAGAATTTTTCAATACTTAGAAAAATTCTAAGTTATGAAAAATTTTCAATTTAAATCCTAATTTCCAAAATTAAGTTTCTTGGTGAACAAGTTTCATTTTTTGACACATCTTGATGAAATATGACCCTTGGCACTTGATTTTGACCAAAAAGTCAAAGTTTGACTTTTCAGTGTACAATTGATTTTTGATTAGTTGACTGGAAAATTCATCTGTCAATCTTATGCACTTGAGATCTTTTGAACCTTGTGATTAGGTCAAGATGATGCTATTGAGTCCTTGAAATCATGCTTGAACTCAATTTGCCAATGGCTAGGTCAAAAATCAGAAATTGCCCTTCTACAGTCAAAAACCCTAATTTTGACCATTTTGCCATTTTGATGATTTGATCAAATTTCTTGAGGAATTGTGGTCCAAACTTGATCAAATGGTTCATATGAGTCTATAATGTTGTTTTGGATAAAAAATTATAAGGTTTGACTGTAAATTGGCCATGGTTGACTTTTTCCCCAATACAACTGAGTTTTAGGTCAATTGTCCAATTGACTGGTCAAAAATGTGATTCAAGGCTTGAAACTTGGTATGAGCAATCTTAGAGATCCAACATGAAGTATTAAAGTCACATGAGGCATTGGAAGTCCAAAAATCCCTGTGCAAACTCAAACCCTAATTTCAGGTTATCAGTGCAAGGAGAGGTCTTGAGCTGAGCAAACCCTAATTTGGTCTTGAATCCAAGAAGTCTTGTAAGGAGAATCTTGATAAAATGAGAGGGCAAATTTTGGGGTACAACACCTAGCTTACATGATTGCTGACCTTTTGAACCAAGGGTTTTTATATGAATGAAAATATATGCTTTGTTAGTGACCCAATGGAATATATGCAGATGAATGCAAAACCTAAGCTAGATAAAAGTAAAATTAGAAGGGCAAATTTTGGGGTATTACAACTAGAACCAGGGAAATGAGAGCATCATAATGATATCAAAGTTTTGAAGAATTGATGAAGGAATCTACCTATGAAGTTGAGTTACAGAGATCTGAAACTGGACTTCTATGGAGCAATATAGGGCACGATTCTTGAATGTAATTATATGGTTAGCTTCAGGGAAGATCAAGGAAGGCGAATTAATGGAAAAATTGGATTGAAAAAGGCTTGAGAATGGATTTCGAAGTTGCTGAATTTTGAGTTATGGAACAAGTTTGGCAGGGTGATTTTGGCTATCCAAGCTTGAGGAAATGAATGGGGGATGACCCTATATTTATAGGGAATCAAATGGAATGCCCAAGCGTGTGAAATGATGAAGTTTGGAGGAAAATTGTGTGAAGTTGCAAACAAGAAAAGTGTGACTTCTAATTTGATCAAAACTCATCCAAAACGCGCATTTTACTATGCTAATCACTTCTAGAACTTCATTAAACATGTTTAGAGGCATAAACGCGCAAAAACAAAGTGTTTAGAAGCCAAATCAAGAATTTCAAACTTCTGACTTGGTGAAAAATTCAGTTTCAAGTTGCCAACTTCTGACCAACGGCATTCTCAGCTCAAGGGGTCTTAGGGCATGATTCTTGATGCTTTAGAAAGATGAGGTTACAAGCTTTGCAATGGAAAAATAATGGAATCAAATGGATGCTTGAGCTGAAAGTTGTGTTGAGTCAAAGTTGGAGAAAAAGGGTTGACTTTCCATACTTAGAAATATTTCAAATTTTTCTTCAAAAGTGACCTATAATGTCTTGCATCCAAACATAGTCTTCCACTTGGATTTTGCTCTTTACCAAAAAATATGGCATGAAATAGACCTCTTGAATGACATTTTGAAACTTGAACCATTCAAAATCTCCAAAAACTGAGAGAGTTATCAATTGTTGAAGTTGGCAAAAAATCATGAAATGACCTATAATATTTTGTATCCTTAAGGCAACTTTCACCCATTTTCTCACTTTGCACATAAAATAAGGCATAAGGTTCACATCCTCAAGATCATTATGGAAAAAGAATGGGCTCAAGGTGATAAAAATTGACCAAGTTATGATCATTTGAAGTCACACATGGAAAATTGGGGATTCATCTGGAGGACTTGTAATCTTTCTTCTTCATCAAGTTTCTTCCACATGAAAACTCCTTGGAACTTTTGAAGTGATTTGTTGATAACCCTCTGAATAGAAGGATGTCTTTAGAATCACTCAAAAATACCAAAAGATGAGCAAGATATACTCCTTTGAAGTTCAAAACCCTAGCTCATAGATAAAAAAACATGCCTTGAAGAGCTTTGACAATTTTGAACAAACTTCTTGTACCAACACAAATGATTTGTAAATATAAGTTGTTGAAGATGATAATGAGAACTCATAGCAACCACAACCACTTCCATAACTTGAGAATTGATAGGAATATGCATTTGTGACAAATGGGAACAAAGCCTTGTCCAAGCATGTCAACTTCTCCAATCAATCCCTTGTGCTTTTGAACCAAATTTGATAACCTTGAAATGTGGTGAACCAAAATAACCTTGCCATGCCATTCCTTCCAAAATAAATCCAATGGCTAGGTTTGAACTTCTCAAGTTTTATTGACTAGGGCATGGAAATAAACTCATGAACCCATGGGGCAACTTGTTAAATCTCATTGCTTTTACCTACATTAGTAACAAGCAAGACAAACCAACATTGCATTTTATTAATTAAGAGGAGAAATCAAGACAAGAATATTCATGATCACAAAAGAACACAAGTCAAGGTGCTTGGTGATTCCTCAAAGAGTAAAGCTAAATATAAGGAGGGGAACCAAGAATCCTAATGTGATCTTATTGTGAATGAAGCAACATGGTATGATGAAGGGATCTTAGGGGTAAAAATTGGGGTACAACACAAGTGTTACACAATGGTTTCATTACAAAAAAAGGAAAAAACATTGCACAGACTATTTTGAAGATGCATATTTGATTATGGGTAGACGTTGAAACATTACAAATATATATCTCAAGAAATTCCTGCAACTCAAAGCTCCATTAATGGAGGAATGCAAACCCATAAAACATAAAAATAATTTATTGATCGTAAAAACTACCTAATTAAATTGTTCCTCATTAGTTCTAAACTATCAAACACTAAAAATATTTTGATTTCATAATATAAAACTCAACTTCTACACATTTTTACATAAACTCAATAACCTTAAAAAAACTTACAATTTGTGTCTTCAAGTTGATTGTTATTGCTCAATATTGTTTGATGAAGATTGATACCCTTTGATAAAGATTGAATGTATTATGAGTGAGTTTCAGTTAATGGGGGTTGGGGAATGTTTGTAGAAATGAGTTTTGAAAGAGTATAACTAAGTAAGGAAGGAGAGGGAAGGGGTTCTGGTGCATATTTGAACAAATAACGTCCGAAGATGCATCTACGTAGGCTTTTCGTAGATGCATCTCCGTAATAATTTTGCGTGAACTTTGGTCCCGAGCAAGAAATGTATTGAAATTGGGTGCGTCCAGAGATGTATCTACTTAAGGTTTACGTAGTTGTATCTCCGGTAAACTCTTTTCACTGACTCTGGACCTTATTCAGCGTTGAGTTAAATCTTGGTGCGCCCGGAGATGTATCTTTAAAACTTGAGGGTATAAACATATTTTTGCGTGAAATTCTCATGTAGAAAACCGGTAAGCATAGTCAGGTCGACCCCGTTTGGGTCGATATGATATGTAGGGTGTAGGGGTGGCAAAGTGGGTGGCCCGCCCCATTTAGGCTCACCCCGTTTAAGCCCGCACAAAACAGGGCGGGACGGGACGAATAAACTTAGACATTCGAGCTCAAAAGTAAAGTCCGCCCAGTTTATTAACGAGTTGGCGGATTGGCAGACCTGTCCGCCAATTTTTTGATTTTTTTATTTTATAACTTAATTTATTACATAATTTATAAATTTTTTAATTATTACTAAAGAAATCGACAAAACATATTTTTTTAACAACGCATAATGTAACTTCAACATGTCTTAAGTCCAAACGCTTAAAAAATAAAATAGATAAAAATCAATTTCAAGAAAAACATACTGAAATAGACTCTAGCACGATAAAAAAAAAATCAAAATAAATAAATAAACAACACATATCATTATAATCCTATTTAAAAACTAATTACTAAAAGAACCTATTTAATAATTTGTACAAGACAAACAATGATAACATTACCGTGCATAAAACATCACAATGCATAACACCTGACTTTCTCATTGTTTACGTCATATAGACTATTATATTGACTGATTCCTTAATAGTTATATCTTAAATTTGTCACACGTATACTCTAATCGAATTCTTCCTTTTTTTAAAATTAACATTTGTTTCTAAAGAAAACATGTGAGGTAATGTATTGACAACTTAGTAATTCTTCATGCCATACAATTGTTCTTATATTTCAAGTTTTTCCATCCAATTCATGTATTAAAAAGTTATATAAAAAACTTTACAATTATAATTCAATTGATCTGTATAATAATTTAGAATGTAATTCAATCACCATAATCTAAAGAAAATATTGTTGTTTTTATAAGTAAAATTATCTTAATTTTAAATGAAAAATAAAAAGTTGTAATAAAAAATCCACATACAAAAGTCGCCCGCTTTTTAAAGCGGTTTAAGCGGAACAAATCAATTTAAAATACCGAGCCGAAAACTTATGATGGGTTAAACGGACCGGCCCGACCCATTTTACCATTCATATATGGGTTGTATATATAATTCGGAAGTGGGTGTCCCGTGGTTGCATACAGTCTTAGTGAGATAGAGTGAGAGTGTAGAGAGAGAAAGAAGAAGAAGACGAAAATGGAGGGGGGAGTGACAGAGACGAGCAGTGCGAAAATGCATGGAGGTTACAATAAGCGATACAAACATCACAGCCATACCCTGGGATGCTCCATGAACTTCCACATATACTTCCCACCTTCCGATTCCACTGATTCCCCCAAATTCCCAGTTCTCTATTGGCTATCTGGTCTCTCTTGCACCGATGAGAATTTCATTTTCAAATCCGGTGCTCAACGCGCCGCTTCTCAACACGGAGTTGTCCTGGTCGCTCCCGACACTTCTCCAAGTAATTTTTGTTCCTCTCCTTTTCTTATTAGCTATATAATTTGTAATGCATGATCCATTGATTGATGGGACTATACAATTGTTGCAATAGGAGGGTTGAATGTTGAAGGTGAAGCAGATTCATGGGATTTTGGTGTAGGTATGTGTGTCTGTATTTTTTCTTCCATTTCCTTTTCCCAATTTGTTGTTGATTTTGGCGTGTTAACATTGTTGATTTTTTCTTCCTGAATAATTGAAGGATTAACTTCACATTTGGTATCACAAGTATTGAATTTAACTTTTAAGTACTGAACTTAAAAAACTTAAGCTAGTAGAGACTTGAGAGGAAATTGGATAGTATTGAAATCGTAGCATTTTCGGTAGTATATAGCATATACTCCAAAGGGAGATTTTCGATATACATTTTAAGTAAGCGCTTATGTTCTAAACACTTCTTCATAATTTGGTCAGTTCTTTTAATGTATGCTGAAGATATTGGGTTTAGGTAAGGAAGAGGGATAAGCGAGAAAGATGACTCAGTAGTTTACTGTATAACTGATTGATAAATGGGACGAATACCATAACCTAGTATTCTGGTTGATACCACAAAAGTGTTGAGAAAAAGGATTTTGATATCCTACGTTCCTTCAAGATAAAGTCTATTAACCTTTAAACTTGTTACAAGTACAAAACGCATAAACATAAAACAAGTTGTTAATGTTACTTATCAAAATTGAATTGGATCATGCTGGATGTTTGGCATGGTAAAAACTCCATAGGTTTATTGGTAAAACACGCTATGAATGATGAAATTGTTATAGGCCAAGTCTTATATATTTAAAAGTGTGGGGGTGTTTAGCTTAGGTTTTGCTGTCCGAACCTAAAAAAGATCAAGATTAATTTGCAAATTAAAGTTGTACTATCTATTGGGGGGAAGGATGATATAATTTTAACAAAGATGGTTTGGTCATGTGAGAAAGCTACCACTAGAAACGGAGAGTTAATCAAGTGGAAGATAACCTGGTAGTTAGTTGTAGTATGTGTTTGGTTGAGCTTTTGGCCAAATAAACGTGCATCTGTAACACTTTCCAAGGCAAAAGAACGTGAAAAAGCTCCAAATTGGTGTTAAAGAACCGCACATTTATTGACAATGTAAATGTCGTAGAAGCAAACAGATGTGTAGAAGGCCAAAAGATCTTTTAGAAACTATTAAAATAGGCTTAAATTGAAATGACATGTGTGGAAACTTAGTTAATAATAGAACATAGTAGCATTTTTTTTATCCATAGAGCTGATCGCACATAATGGAGAGGGGATTTTCTGTTAGAGAATTATTTAGAAAAGAAATGCAATTGTGTAGTGTATATTATACACTAAATTTGAAGTAACAGTTCACCTACTCCTGTGTGCATACTCTGAAAAACAGGACTTCAAATTTATACCACTAACATCATAATATCAATTTTTAAATTATAGGAAAAAAATATTCATTCCTATTTGGAAGACATTGTTGTTTTGTTTTGTGGAATTAATTTATCAGTCTTGGTCTAAACTCTAAAGGTAAAATTACCTTGAGATGTACAATATACATTTTCCTTTGCAGAAGATATATTAATTGCATATTTACTTTCCGGAACAGGTGCGGGATTTTATCTCAACGCCACACAAGAGAAATGGAAGAACTGGCGCATGTATGACTATGTTGTCAAGGAATTGCCCGAGCTTCTACGTGATAACTTTCCACAGCTTGACACATCAAAAGCTTCTATATTTGGCCATTCTATGGGTGGGCATGGTGCACTAACTATCTACCTGAAAAACCTGGATAAATATAAGGTAAGTCGTAAGAATGAACCAAAAAAGTTCTCATTTCAATATAGCCGAAAGGAGTTTCATAGAAAATCTTCATCTTGGCAATGTCCTAAAAACTATGGCTAGTATTGCTGTTGATGAACATTTTTTGTTACTAATTGCTTTCCTTGACTAAGATATCGCACATCAATATATTTTTGCTCTACAAGTTGGCTGTCTTAGTATTTTAATTTTTAGCAATCTCATTGAGAAATATTCGGTGATTTATTTGGCGTAAGATTTGTGGCTTCGAATATTTTTCAGGATATTCTGCAGTCTTGATGAGTATAAAGCTTACCATTTATATTGAACCTTTCATATCTAGTTCTTGAAAGATTATTTCTGAGAAATCAAAAATGTTTGTCAGAGGTCATGTTTCCCTGAATAGATTTTGGGTACAAGTAATATTAGCATTCAGGGGACATAGCTGTAGTAACTATTCTTTGGAAGAGTATATTATTGAAGTTCATCAATAGTTATTTTTTTCTTTTCAATTTTATGATATAATGATTGCAGTAAGATGTCACATGTTTTCTTAAAGGTGGGCAAGGACTTGTGTTAGATTGTTGGTTGTGACTTTCCATTTATGGATGTTGCTTCCTAACCCTACCATTTTTCTTCTAGGCACCAATTCTCCATTCTAAGTTAGGATTGAACTTCCGTTTCTTTAGGTGATCCTTGTTGAATGATATGGAAGCTTCTGAATAAGGTGTACCAAAAAGTTTTCCTATATCCGTAGATTTATATTACCAGGGGTCAACATCATATAGGTGGATGTAGTTATAGGATTTGGAAACATATAAGAGTTAGTGCTTTAATGTATGTTTTCTACAGATAAAAAAGTTCTATTTGATGGCTCAAGGAGTTGTTTTAATTAATATCTTAGTCGAGGCTTGAATAGAAACACAGGAATAAGAAGTTTTCATTATAGTAATGGTAGTGAGCATGAAATTGCAAACTTATTAACAATGTCCCGGTGCTGATGACTGGGGATTGCTGCACTCAGGTTATGCAAACTTATACCAGAAATTGCAGTGTTAAGCTATCTCATATCCATCTTACAAGGTTATGGAAATGCACCAGATAATTTTAGTTGGGTGGTTGAGATAAAGAATGCTTCAATATAATATGTGATTGCAAGATGGCTAACATTCTGAAAGTCCTGCAATGCTTTGAGCATTAAAGTGCTAGTAAGAACAAAAAATAGGTTTGGTGGAGATGAAATTTTTAAGGCATGATGAATGGGGGACATACATGAGTTAAAAATGAAGATATTCAGGAGTTAAGTGGGATTAGCATTTGTTTACGAGATGATAAACACTCATTTCATTTTCAGTTTAGTGTTCAATAGGCATGCAAAATAGAGCTTCAATCTGCACATAAACTTAGTATTCATAACTGTTCAAAAAATTTGCAAGTTAGAACCAATATCTCATTCTTCTGGTTACATTTTTTGATGTTTGTAGAACTCTATTGCCTAAAACAACAAATGGGTAGTGTATTTTGTTATTTGTCAATTGTCATGATAGTACTGTACTTATTACAGGGAATTCTAACATATTTTTATTCTTGTGTTTTTTTTTTGGATTACTGTTCCAGTCAGTTTCTGCCTTTGCACCGATAGCAAATCCTACAAATTGTCCTTGGGGACATAAGGCATTCACTAATTATCTAGGTGGCAATAAATCTGACTGGGAGGTAAATTAGTGGGAAAACTATCACGTTTGCTTTACTGATTAAGTCTTGATATTTCATTATTATAAGCAATTGAAAAATGCAGGATTATGATGCCACTTATCTGGTAAAGAAGTATTCCAATGTATCTACCACCATTTTGATTGATCAGGTACATGATCTTGTGATTTTTATTCATTTACTTTTTTTTTTTTAAATTGTGAACTGTATAAAAATGAGTGACAGAATTTGAGCTGCTGTCATATTTTATTAGATTTGTATTTGAGAAAACAAATTTTGATATAATGCTGTTTGTCACAGCAAGATTTCAAGTTTTTATATAGATGCATGCTCTTGTATACTATTGAATTCTTGCTACATCTTATTATTGCTCTAATTTTCAGGGGGAAGATGACAAATTTTTGCCTGATCAACTGTTGCCTCACAAGTTTGAAGAGGCCTGCAAGAATGGCAACGTTCCACTGTTGTTACGTCTTCAACCTGGTTATGACCACTCCTACTATTTCATTGCCACCTTCATTGATGACCACATCCGGCATCATGCTCAAGCTCTTAAAGCTTAATAAAGTTGTGTGCACTCTGATGATCTACAACTGTTCTGTTTTATTTTACTAAAGCTACTCACTCTTTTTATTTGGGAATTGTGATACTTTGGTTTGTGTTTGACTATGGATATCAATTGGAACTTCTTTCATGTCTGCATTTCGGTTCTAGACTAATCCATGTCTATGACAGGTATACTGATTTGATTATATAATATATGATAAAACATATATGAAATAATTATTTTAAATAAATATGCTGTAACTATATTTAAAAGACTGGGATCAAGTTGAGTGAGAAACCATACCATAATTTTTGGTTGTTGATTCTTGTGATGATTATCCATTAACTAGTGCACCTAGAGGGGTGCACTAGATTCTAGTTATGTGCACTATTTATAAAACTATCATAGTCTTTTCTTATACTAAATGTGTAAAATGATATTCTTATATTAAATGTGTACACCTACACTTTATTTTGCTGAGCTGAGCTCAAAGAGAATCCGTTTTTACTTTTAGATTGAGGAAATGAAATTATGTGATTAATCTATTTCATAATTTTATTAATCTATTTCATAATTTTATTAATTTATTTTTTATATTTTATTAATTTATTTTATTATTAAAAAATTATTTTTAACTTCTAGATGTTTATTAACTAATTTTATTAATCAATTTTTTACATTTGATTAACTTTGTTTTAATGTTAAAAGTCATTGGTTATATATTATTTACTAATAGTATAGCTGTATTACGATTATTAATTTTTTGACTATGTTGGCATATCAAAGAAATCATGGATCATTTACCGCTGTCGAAATTTATTGAAAGAGAAAAAGAAAGCTCCATTACTTGAGACAGAACAACCAAAATACCCACCTCTGACTTCATTTACTTGGAACCAAAGGAATCAATTAAGGTATGACAGAAATTCCAACGAGTACCGAAGCTGCATTGCTCTAAACTTTACTTGCCAACTGCCACACTACCAACTCCTATGCCGAGATAAACCTCACCTTGGGCCAGCATCTGATGATAGCTTTTACAGATTCAGTTTGACCGCCGGGGCAAAACAGGAAACTGACAACGAGTCAACCACGCGCTGCAAGAACAAACGACCATATGAAAATCTCCACTACTCCATGCCACACTACCAACTCCTATGCCGAGATAAACCTCACCTTGGGCCAGCACCTGATGATAGCTTTTACAGATTCAGTTTGACCGCCGGGGCAAAACAGGAAACTGACAACGAGTCAACCACGCGCTGCAAGAACAAACGACCATATGAAAATCTCCACTACTCCAAACAGAACAACCAAAAATCCGCTTGAAACAAGAGGAATCAATTGGGAAATGACAAATAATCCAGCGGACACAAAGACTGCAACGTTCTGATCTTTCGCATAGACATCGGCTCCTACGGCTCCTATGCCACAACTAAAGAAATTCCAAGCTCGTAATACTACACTGACAAACACAATTCAAATTCCAAAACAAACTAGAAACTAGCCACCCTGCCGCAAAGCGCCGAAGCACCTACTCGCAATGAAATTCAAGCGACTCAACACAAATGCATCCGGAAGAGCATAGTTATGCCTAATATTTAATAGGTAAAATAATCTTTTTGTTTCCTTAACTTTATATTGGGATCTATTATGCTCTCTTATCTTTAAAAAAAATTCTAAAGTGGTTCTTTAAATATTAAAAAAAGATCACATATATTCTTTTCTTCTGGACTTTTAGTCAAAGTCAATCAATGGTAGCGCTTATGTGGCATATATGTGGCATTACACATGTTTATATTTCTGTTAAGGTGGATTAAAGTATCTTAATACTAAAATAGAAAAACAAATGGGTTAAAGTATCAGAACACATCTCCAACACTTGAAGCTAACCCTAGCGCAACCTTTGTTAGTAGCTCTGTTATGCGAAGAAGTTGCGAGCGAAGCGAAGACATATTCCGTTCTTGAAGGTGAAAGCGACCACAACACAACTCATCATAGGTAAGTATCTGCAAAATTATAATTTTTGTAGTTAGGGTTTTTGAAATCAATCTTTCTGAAATCTATGTTCTTCATGTCTATTTAGGGCAAGTCTGAAATGAATGAATATCTGAACATTACAATACACCATAGTGGTGAGTTTGTTAGTGAGAACATGAGTGTTTATGAAGGAGGTGAGATTTCTGATTTGAGAGTAGATGCTGATAAGTGGAGCTATTTTGAATTGATATGGGCTATTAAAGAGCTAGGTTACGCAGACGCAGAGAATATATATTATAGGGATCCTACTGCTGGGATGAATCTGTTGGTTGATGAAAAGGGGGCATTATAGATTGTTGATCTATATAGGGTTCATCTTAGTGTTGAAGTCTTTATTCAACACGCGTTGTCACAACCTGATTATGCTTATGAGATTGAAGTTGTGTTAGATGTGGTACCCCTTAATGAGATAGTTGATGAGGCAGAAGTTATGCTTGGGGAGATGTTGAAGGAAACTAATGTAAGGGAAGATGGTGTTAGGGAAGATGATGTTAGTATGAATGATGTTAGGGAAGATGATGTTAGTATGAATGATGTTAGGGAAGATAGTGTTAAGGAAGATGATGTTAGGGAAGATGATGTTCATGTAGTAGGAATTAATGATAATGGGTCAATGGTTGGTGAGGTTGAAAATGATGATATTGGACATAGGGCTGGTGAGATTGATGATGCTGTAAGACTGACTGATGATGATGATAGTTCTGATGATATCACCTTCAATTATGATAGTGCAATGGAGATAGTATTTCATGATGACTCTGATGAGTATGACACTAAATTGGAAGAGGAAGAGGGTAACCTAATTGACTATGAAGTTGATGATGAACAAGTGGAAAGCAAAAAAGGTAAAGAAAAGTGTGAAGCAAACAAAGAAGATAGCAAAGAAAGTGATAATGAAAGTGATGATCTAGGAAGTGACTATGATAGTGATGATAGCAGTAGAGTTAGGAGAAAGAAGTATCCAATTTTCAAGCTTCAAAAGGATATGTCCAATTACAAATGGGAAGTGGGAACCTACTTTAATACAACAGAAAATTTCAAGGAAGCTATTACTTCTTATGCAGTCCAATCTGACAGAAATTTAAAGTTCATTAAAAATGACAAGATCAGGATTAGGATTAGGTGTAAGGAAGAATGTGAGTGGGAATCTTATTATGCTAAATTGTCTATTGAAGATTCTTGGCAACTAAGAAAGGTAGTAGACATTCTTAGTTGCAGTAGAGAATATAATGTGAAGTTGTTGAAGACTAAATGTCTGAGCAAGAGGTTGCGGAATTCACTTAAATCTAACCCTAGAATGAAAATTAAGGACATTAAAGAGAAGGTACAAAAGAAGTGAATGCGGGGGTCAACAAAACCAAGACAATAAGGGCTAGGTTTGCAGCCAGAGACATGGTTGATGGGTCATTCCCAGGGGATTATGCAAGGATATATGACTATGCATATGAGTTATTAAGAGCTAACTTAGAGACAACTGTAAAAGTGAATGTCGAACCTGCACAAGAAGGTGGTGGTGTTCAAAAATTACATTTCAAAAGGATATACATATGCTTGGAGGCTTGTAAGAAAAGCTTAAAGTTAAGCAGACATTTCATTGAACTTGATGCATGTTTTCTGAAAGGTCTTTGTGGGGGTCAAGTCCTTGCAGTCATAGGAAGTGATCTCAATGATCAAATGCTACCAATAGCATATGCAGTGCTGGGGAGTGAGAATAAGGATAGCTGAACATGGTTCTTAGAGCTGCTTATTGATGATCTTGGTGGAAGAGAAGAGTGCCTCAGATACACTTTTATTTCTGATCAATAAAAAGGAATGGCTCTATTTTTAATTCTGAATTGATAAGTATTTCATGTTACAAATTCTCATGTTACATTTTTTATGAGTTATGAATTATTTCCTGCAATGGAAGAACTACTGCCTAGAGTTGAACAAAGGTTCTGTGTTAGGCATCTCTGCAATAACTTTTGGAAGACGTATCCAGGAAAAATAGTAAAGGAAATCATATGGAAAGCTGCCAAGTCAACTTACTACCAAGCTTGGGAAAAAGAGATGAAAGTAATGAAAAAGCTCAATGGAGAAGCATACAAACACATGATGAGCACTCCTCCAAGGTTTTGGAGCAGATCATACTTTAAGGCTGATAACAAATGTGACGTTGTTCTCAATAATATGTCAGAATCATTTAATAGTGTCACCCTGGAGTCTAAGGCCAAGCCATTGATAACCATGGTGGAAGAAATTAGGATATACATGTGGAGAGATGGGCTATAAACATGATGATGTTTCGGAAATCGACTGATGTTGAAGTGTTTCCTAACATTATGAAGAAGGTTGAGAAAACAAGTTCATACACAAACATGTGGCTTGTCAGGTAAATTGCTTTAAGAAAATTTCTTTAAACAATTTTTGTGATATGATGTATGATTTTGGAATGTGTATTTATATGTTAGGATGTCTGATGAGCATATATTTGAAGTGAGACATCTGTAAAACTCAGCTGAAAAATTCACATTCAACTTGAAGGAAAAGTATTATTCATGCAGAAGATGGGAGCTAATAGGCCTGTCTTGTGTTCATTCACTTGCAGCAATCAAAAGTAGGAACCACAAGATTGATGACTACACTCCTGATTACTACAAGAAATAAAAATATATGCAAGTGTACAAACCTGTAATATATCCTGTTAATTGCTCAAACCCGTGGATGAGAACAGAGTATCCTGATGTTCTGCCCCCCAAATTTAGGAAAATGTCAGGAAGGCCAAAAAAAATGAGGAATTTAGAGCAAGGTGAGATAGATGGTTCTGATAAAAAAATGAGAAGGACATGATTCATTATAAAGTGTAGCAGGTGTAAGAAAGTAGGACACACCAAACTTACTTTCAAGGTACCATCTACTAGTCAAGCAGCCCAGGCATTTCAGCCAGCTCAAACATCTTAGCCAGCTCAAGCATCCCATCCAGCTTAAGCATCCCAACCAGCTCAAGCATCTCAGCCATCTCAAGCATCTCAGTCAGTTCCTACACAAGCATCCCAGCCAACTGCTTCTCAAGCATCCCAACATGTGGCTTTTCAATCATCTAAGAAAGTGACTACCAAATCTAAAAACTTGCAAGTTAGAAGGCTAAATGCACCTTTTGCCCCACCTGGTCCAACAACTAGGTTGAATGCATCAAAAACTGTTGTAGGTCCAACAACAAGAAGGACAACACCTACTAAAAGAGCCACACCAAAATGGAAATCTTAGTTTAATTCCTCTAATGTAATAGTTCTGTTAAGTTATGTTAAGTTTAGTTAAGTAAAATTAATTTTAGTCAAGCTATGTTAAAGTGTTTTGAATCAGTACTGGTGTTTTTGTACTGGTGCTTTGGACCTGTAACGTATCAGGTATTTTTGACCTGTAATATCTGGTAATGTTTTGGATCTGTAATGTTTCAGGTATTTTGGACCTGTAATATCAGGTTTTTTGGACCTGTAATGTCAATAATAATTTGAACAAGTGTTTGTCACAACCTGTAATGTATGATGTAACACCCCAACTCTACCCCAATTGATAAATATAATAATCAGAGTTACATAATTCACAGTCAAACCGGGATGCTACAATTACAACTTAATACCATTGCATTCAACATGGATACATAACACTTTAAAACTTCAGATGAACCAACAATAAATTAGTCTTTTAAACCAATAAAATGAACAACTACGCAGCGGAATCATAATAACATCTTTGTCCAATATTAAAGCAACTCCAAAATAACAAGTACTTAACAACAATCAACTTAAAGTTCAACAAATGAAATAACAATAACTAAAACCAACAAGCGTTCATCCCCCTCGAGTGTTACGTATCAGAGCAATGATACCGACTCGAACTACTGAAGGTATACCGCCTTCACTCTGGGTTACCTGCACGTTACCGACATCAGGGTAACATTTAAATAAAAGGGGTGAGATATCGAACAGTATAATAAAATGTATGATAAATATTACATTAGAATCAGTTCATACATATTCACCACTTCTCAAGTTTTAACATCATAAACATAATCAAATCAATCGCACAATGACTCAGAATGCAATACAGGATGTAACTCATCTTTATGCAAATGCATGTGATACCAATGGAGCAGAACTCCCATATTAAAAATATACCAATAAATAGAGGCATCAACAAGGCATAAGCCTTCTTCGCAGTTTTCCAATCCAGGCCATCACAGAGTATGCAAATGTATATGACTCAATGAATGTACTATCACATACTCACAATAATCATCATCCATCGCA